TGGGCTTTGCTTCTGTGAAGGTAGGAGCTCTGGTGGTGCAGTGCCTAAGGCACTTGACTGCTAACCAGAAGGCTGGCGGTTCAAACCCACCAGCCATTCCTCTGAAGGAAGATGGGGCAATCTACTTCCATAGTGATACTGCCTTTGCAACCCAAGGAAGGGTCGCTATGAGTTGGGTCTGACTTGACGGCACATAACAACAACATTATTTTAAAACAAGGAGTCCTGGTGATGCAACAATGAAATGCATGGCAGCTAACTAAAAGGGTGGTGGTTTGAACTCACTCAACCACTCTGTAGGCAGTCTGTTCCCATAAAGATTGCTGTTAGGTGCCGTCAAGCCAGTTCTGCTGTGGACAACAGTACACAAACAGTGCTCGGTCCTGAGCTGTCCCCACAATCGTTGCTATGTTTAAGTCCATTGCCGTGGCTGCTGTGTTACTCCACCTCCCTGAAGGTCTTCCTCTTTTTCTCTGACCCTCTACTTTACCAGTGATGTCCTTCTCCAGGGACTGGTCCCTTCTGAGAACACATCTAAAGTATGTGAGATGAGGTCTCACCATTCTCACTTCTAACGCGCATTCCGGCTGTATTTCATCCAAGACAGACTTGTTCATTCTTCTGGTAGGCCGCGATTGTGGTAGTTCAGTGTGTGTCAGCTTGGCTGGGCCCGGCTGAGTGGCTGGGCAGCTGGATGTAGTATTCCCCATGATGAGACTGGCAATCAACTCCATGGTGGAATCTACTATGAGCAGCTGAGTAGCTGCCTTAGGGATGTGGTCTGCTTCCTACATATAAGCAGAAGCCTTGGGAATGGTCTTGAGTTTATGGCACGCTTGGACCCTGTGTGCAGCCATGTCGTTGCTCAGCAGCCTGCCATGCTCTGCCGATCTTGGGACTTACAATGGACTTAAATTAATGGCCTGCCGTGTGGTTTGGTAACATCGGGACTGTGCCTTTCTACTTGTCGACCTCGGGTCTGTCAGTTTCAGTAGCCAGCATCTGAGTGAAGAAAAGCCTCTAGTTCCAGTGGGCCGGGAGCAGGAGGCAGAGCTACAACCCAAGGTTGAGGGGCTTTCCCCCAGCCCCTAGAGCCTGGCACTCTGGACTTGGACTTAAAGCCTCCAAACTGTGAGAGAATAAACTCCTGTTTGTTAAAGCCATCCCATTTGTGGCATATTCCTGTCAGAGCGGCACCAGGGACCAGAACAGTGACACATCCAATATTCTTTGCCAACACCATAAATTAAAGTCATCAAACAGCTTACAAAACCCTATGGGGCATTTCTACTCAGTCACGTGAGGTCACTATGAGTCTCATATCCACTCAATGGCACCCACCAACTATTTAAAAGTTTCATTTTTGCATTAGGTTTCAGTTCTCTCACTCTGTCTTCCAAAATTTCCATCCCGTATTAAGCTATTTTTATGAGTATTATTCACTGGACAGAGAACTCTCTTCTGCGTGGCCGAGTGTGCTTTCAGCCACTCAGGAGAAAGCAATGAACCAGACAGACATACACCTGGCTCTCAGGGAGTGGCCATTTCTGGGAGGAGACAACAAACACACAGGCATCAATAAGCTGGAGAATCTCACAGACGCCCCAAAGAGAAGAAATGAGTGTGATAACGTGGAACTTGAGAAGAAGTTGGTGACTTTTGGTCGGGTGGTCAGGGAAGGATACTATGAGGAAATGACAACTAAGCTGAGATCCAAGTAATGAGAAGGAGCTAGCTGTGAGAAAACTGGGGTGTGTGTGTGTGTGTGTGCAGTTGGCACATACCGGGCTGAAAGAACAGCTTGTGTAAAGACCCTGAGGGTGCTTGGTTTGTTCAAGGGATGGAGGCCAGGCAAGTATGACGGAACAGAGAAAGTAAGAAGAGTGTTAAGAGTTCAACTGGGGGAAGTGGCCAGGCCCAGACCGTGTAGGGTTTTGAGGAATCTGCATTTTCTTCCAAGGGCACTGGGGAACCATGGGAGGATTCTGAGCAGAAGAGTGTGGTGCTCGGACTTGCAGGCTACAGCAACTGTCTAGGCAGGAGGTGACGGTGGCTTGGTAAGAAACACATTCAGAATGTAGCTGTTAAAGATAAGGGCTGCTGCTGCTAGATCAAGTGAGGGAATGAAAAACAAGAGTTAAGGGTGCCCCAAGATTCGGGGCCTGAGAATCTGAGTGAATGGTGATGCCCCTTGCTGAGCTGGAGAAGGGTATCGGAACATCAAGGCGCCCTGGAGGGACAGTGGTTAAGAGCTAGGCTGTTACCGTTATCTGAAAGGTCGGTGGTTGGAACCCAGTAGCCACTCCGAGGAAGAAAGGTGTAGCAATGTTTTGAGGAAGAAAGATGTAGCAATGTTTCTGCAAAGATTGATAACCTTGGAAACCCTACCAGGCAGTTCCACTCTGTCCTCTAGGGGCACTGTGTGTCAGATAGACTGGACTGCAGGGGGTTTGGTTTGGGCTTTGCTTCTGCAAAGATTGACAGCCTTGGAAGCCACGTGGTGCAGTTCCACTCTGGCCTCTAGGGGCGCTCTGAATCGGAATAGACTCCACCGCAGTGGGTTTGTTTTGGGCTTCGCTTCTATAAAGATTGACAGCCTTGGAAACCCTATGGGGCAGTTCCACTCTGTCCTCTAGGGGCGCTGTGAGTCAGAACAGACTCCACTGCTGGGGGTTTGGTTTGGGCTTTGCTTCTGTAATAAAGATTGACAGCCTTGGAAACCTTCTGGTGCAGTTCCGCTCTGTCCTCAAGGGGCGCTGTGAATCAGAATCCACGCCACAACAGTGGCTGCAGGAGGAGCAAGTTCAGAAGGATAAAGTCAACAGTTCTGTCTTGGACAGTCCATATCTGAGATGCTGACTGGATGCCAAGTAAAGCTGTCAGGAGGGTGCTTTAGGGGAGAGACCAGGATGAAGATAAAGATTCAACAGCCTGCAGGTGAGTATTTCAAACCTGAGCTCACCAGGTGGGTAAAGCCAAACGCCTGTCATTCAACACAGTTACTGACTTTGGTGGTATACATGGGGATAAACCCAAAAACCAAACCCACTGCCATCGAATCGATTCCAACTCACAGCGACCCCCACTGGGTTTCCGAGACAGTAAATCTTTACAGAGGTATATTGCCCAGTCTTCCTTCCGTGTAGTGGCTGGTGGGTTTGAACCGCCAGCCTTCTGGCTAGCAGTCAAATGCCTTAGGCACTGCGCCACCAGAGCTCCTTAAACATGGGGATGCACTATGAATAAAGCACACACGAACCCCTGCACCCCCTGCCTTCCTGAAGGGCCCAAGAGACTGCAGGCTCGCTCCTGTTCTTACAGCCACGTATCAAACTCGGCTCCTCCTACCTCGGGGATCTCAGCTCCTCGATGCTGAGAACTTGCCTATCAATACAATGGGAATGGTGGGTGGGGAGACTAGGTTTGGCTGCACATTCAAATGCCCCTGGGGAGAAGCCTCGATAGTTGAAACCAGTTACCGGAAATCTCCCTCCTGCCCCCTACCTAGTCTCCACCTTTCCTAACAGAAGACTCATGCCTTCTACCACCAGAGTTTAATTCTGACGGTCTTTTGTGCTTTGTGAATGGCGTCACACATGTCATCCGGTGTCTAGCTTCCGTCTCTCAGCATTATGTCACTGAGGTTCATCCATAGTGTGGGGTACTTAATGCTTAACGATGTATGTGTCCGTTCCTAATGCAGTGGGTAAGAGTTCCCCTGGCGATTCGCTTTCACCCGCCTCTTCCTGAAGCCCCGCCCCCACCCGAGGCCCCGCCCCTTGGCGGGCCGCGGCCTCTCACCCGACAGCACCACCTCCACCAGGTCGCCCTCCTGGATGTCACCGGCTGAGCGCACCAGCTGCAGGAGATTGGCCGAAGCGGGGTCATGTTTGAAGAGCAGGATCTTGTCGTAAAGGCCATAGAAGCCACACTCGGGGAACTGAGAGGCGGGAGAGGGAGGTGGCAAGAGAGAGACTCAGAGTGGCGGTGGACTGGAACCCTCTCAGGGCAGGGCTGGCTGTTTCCGCCGGAAGCTCGGGGACCCTGCTGCCCTCGCTTCCTGCCAGCCCCCTCTCAACCTTAGCTCGAGCCGGGCAAGATGCCAGGGCCCCAGGTGTGCCGGGAGCGAGCTCTGGCGGGAGTCTGGGGGCTGGACTCGCGCGGTGGGGTTGGAGTGAAGGTACCCCTGGGAGCGTGGACACCTGGATTTTTTTCCGGAGATTGGGAGGGGGAGGCTGAGCGAGCACCCGGTCCCTATCCACCCCCCTCCACCCCAGCTTCCTTCCGGGATCTATTGTTTTTCCCTGTTACCTGGCTCTGGGCCCAGCGTTTGGGCGGGGCGGGCTGGAAGGAGGGCATTTACGGATTTAGGACTCCTGGGGAGCTGGAGGTGGGGGGTGTGCTCCCTCCCCCACAATGCCTAGAGGACCCAGGTGCCGGGGTCTGCAGCCTGGGGGGGGGCAGGAAATGAAACCTGGTAGAACAGAAAGTGAAACTGCCCAGGTGGAGCCGCTGGAAGGAAGGAAGGGGGCCCTAACACACCTGGGGCCTGAAGGGAAGAAGACTAAAGCCTGGATGAGTCCCAGAGAGACAGGCTGGGGGTTGTTGAACAAGGAATTTCACCTGGCGACTATCTCAAGCCCCACCACCCGCCTCATCCTCCCTGCAATGGCTTCTACCCCCAAGCCTGCCTTACCGAAAAGCAGGCTAAGTCCAGGGGTGGAAGCTGAGCTTGCTAGATTTGGGGGTTCTGGGGGGCAGTGCCCTGTCTGCCTGCCTATTCTTATTCGCTAATGGATGGACGGTTCCCCAGAGACTAAAACCAAAAACTAAACTCACTGCTACACTCACTGCCGTCCAGTTGGATCCGACTCATAGCGACCCCTCCATGGGTTTTTGAGGCGGTATCACTACGGAAGAAGATTGCCTAACCTTCTTCTGAGGAGTGGCAGGTGGGTTTGAACCTCCAGCCTTCTGGTTAGCAGTCAAGTGCCTGAGGCACTACGAGACTGGGCCTAAATCTTTATGTCTCTAAGCTTCAGTTTCTGGAGTCTCAGGCCCAAAGGATTCATTTCCAGGAGTCTGAGAAGATTCTCGAATTTAGATGTTTTGGGATCCTACCACACAAGGATTCCACCTTATCATTATTATACGTTTTAGGAGCTCAACAACCTAGATTGTCAGTAATGTGTTAATGTTCTAGAAGCCCAACAAACTAGGACTCTGATACTTGAATATTTAAGTATTAAAAGACTTCAACAACCCAGCATTAAACTATTCTAGCATTTTAACATTCCAGTATTCCAATAACCTAGGAACCTAATACTCCCAAGACTGTAATGCTTTAGTATTTCAACAACCTAGAGTTCCAACATTTGAGCATTTTAACATCAGAAACATTCAAATGGCCTAGCATTTGAATTTGCCAACAATTTAGGATCAAGGATCATAACATTCTAACATTTTTACTAACTAGTGTGCCAACAACACAGATGCCCACTATTCTAATCAACATCCTGGGATTCGAACTTGCAGCCCCAGGCCTCCCCTGCAACCACGCCGGTAACCCTGGGTCCAAAGTTAAGGGTAGGTTCAGGTGGCGGAGGTCCGTTTGTTTAATAGGCCAGCATCAGGCCTGGGGCGGGGGACGGGGGTTAGGAGCACTGTGATTAACCGAGGGAACAGGTCCCCGGGGTTTCTAGGGGTGCAGAGAGGGCACTGGCTCCTCCACACAGTTCTCAGGCCTCAGGCCCGTGGGGGACAGGCTTTGGGCTCTGAGACCTCACTTGGCCCGGGCAGCCAGCAACGACATCCACACCCACATGTGTCACCCGATCGAGAAGGCCAGCCTTACTCCAATTTCTACTGTTTCCACCAAATGGGAGGCCTGGATCTCCGCACATCTGCTGTCTCCCCACCTGCCCCTTCCTCCCCTCCCTACACCTGGTCGGCCCCTCCCTTCCTCCCTGCCGGCTGCCGAAAACAACAGCATGCAGGGACAAGCAATTTGAGGAGGCCTCTGGGGCACCCCACCCCTGCCCAGTTTTCCTTCAAGCGGGTAGAGGAGTAGGGAGGCAACTGGGGGCCAATGGCCACCCCCCATCTCAGTCTCCCAGGCTCCCTTTGTCCCCCCTCCCCTGCTCTAGGCCCAGATCATCTCTGGCCCGCTCCCTCCTCCTCTGGGACGCCCTTCCTGCAAGAGGAGTGGAGGGACCCCGCACCCGCACCTTCTGGTCCACGATAGAGCACGCCAGCTGCTTCACATGGGCCAGCTCCGAGGCGGCGGGCAGCAGCACAAACTCGCGAGTTAGCCCGATCTGGATGTGGAAGGAGACTCCGGGGCCCGGGGCTTGGGGCAGCAGCGGTGGCGGCGACTGGAACTCCAAGCTGGGCCCGGTGGGTGGCGGTGACCCCGGCCGGGGAGAGCCCGGGAGCCCCGCGGGATGGGTGGGGGCGGCGGCCATGGGGGGAGGCCCGGGACCAGCCGCCCGGCGCCCACCCGGGATCCGGCTGGGGGAGTCCTGGTAACCCGGATCACTGAACCCGCGGGATCTCGTGAGCTGGGGATAGGAGCGCGGGGATCCCGGGATCCAGAGAAGAGGAGTCCTGCAGGTTGGGGAGCCCCGAGGATGGCGGGATCCTGGGAAAATAGGAGAAATCCTTGTGAAGTCAGACGCCGGATAATCGAAGGGTCACACAAGCCCCTAAAGGAAAAATCTAGTGGTTTTGGGATCGGGGGAGAGTCTACGAAACTGGAGAATAAACTGTAGCAGGTTGAGGGCTCACGGAACAGGGGAGCGTGGATTGCAAAGGGTCTCAGGACGGAGAAAGGATTGGTAAGGAAGCGGGGGAGGGAGGAATCCCAGATCTCTGGAACTAAGAAGAGGAATTCAATTAAAGGGCTCCGAGGGATGCACCAGACCTTAGGGTGGGGGGCAGGAGTCTCTGAGTCGAGTATCGAGTGAATCCCGCGGATTCCACGGGCCCAAGGATGGGCAGTAAGGTCCCCAAGGCCGGGGTGGTGAGGAGCGACTCTCACAGGTCTGGGAAGTTGAAGAAAAAAGTTCTGTCCGGGGCTGCGGGGGGAGAGGGGGCGTTACCGGCGGCGGGGGGTGGGTCGCCCTGCCCCCTCGGTTCTTTTCCCCTCCAAAGTTTAACTCCGCGGCGGCGGCCCAGGAGGAAGTGTCCGGAGCGACGGCGCAGTCGGCCAATAGGCGCGGGGATCGGTGACGTCACGGGGCGGGTCCCGCCGTGGGGCCGGGGGCGGAAGGGGAGGGCGGGTCGGCGCCTTGGAGTTGGGGGCGGGACCTCCCCCGCTGCGGACTGGAGGCCCAGGACGGGGAGGGGGTGAGGGCATTGGGGCACCGATTCCTCCCACGCGACATCTCCAAAAGTCTGGAAAGTTACTTTTCCTCGAGCTGGAGAGGGAGGGGCGGACGCTCTCACCCCAACCACAGGTCGCGGGGGCCCGGGCCGCGGAGGCGCCTGGCTGGCCCTTTAAGGAGGGGGCCCTGTCTTGCCTGGCCTGCGTCCGGTGTCCACCGCAGAAGGGATAGGAAATGGAGTGACAGGTCCGGCCCGCTCTGTGGGATCGGTCTGCCCGGTCCCAGAGCGCCGCCTGTGTCCCGCAGCGCTCCAGTCCCGAGGAAGGTGGTGGAGCATTCCTAGCCCATTCCACAGGTGGGAAGACCCAGACCTGCAGATGACCACAACGGTCTTGTTTCAAGGCTGACTCTAGCGACTTTGACCAGGACACGGACCCAAATGGTTTCTCTGTGTCGAGAAGAGTCAGGCGTGGGGCAGGGTGGGGCGGTGTTGGGTAGTTTCCTTCCATCAGCCCTGTGATCCCTTAGGATAGTGTCGAATCAAAGGCCACGGTGGGTTGGGGGGTGGCTGGGAATGTGTTCTGTAAGGACCAGGTAGCCACCTGGGAGGACGTCAGACCCACACAGCTTCATAGATGGAGAAGTGAGGCCCAGGACAGGCTACTGCTCTGAGCTTCAGTTTCTTTACCTGCCACATGGGATTATAATAGGACATCCCTCTGAGGATTACTGTGTAATAAAATACAACTTCAGTAAATGGTGACCATTGCTCTAGTAGCAGAGGGTGATAGGGGCGGGGCACTTCAAGCACCCAGGCATTGGTTGGTGGGTATATTTAAGGAAGACCGGAGAACTGATGTATTTGAACTATGGTGTTGGCAAAGAATACTGAATAGATCATGGACTGCCAGGAGGTACAAATCGGCCTTAAAAGTATAGCCAGAATCTTCCCTAGAAGCGAAGCTGGTGAGGTTGCGTCTCACGTGTTTTGGACGTTATTGGGAGGGATCGGTCCCTGGAGGAGGACATCATGCTCGGTAGAGGGTCAGTGAAAAGGGGAAGACCCTCAACAAGATGGATCGACACAGTGGCTGCAACGATGGGCTCACACAGCAGCGATTGCCAGGATGGTGCAGGACCGGGCAGTGTTTTGTTCTGTTGTACACAGGGTCGCTGAGTCGGCACCGACTCAAAGGTGCCCAAGGACAAACTGGTACCGCTGAGGGCCCGCTGTGTGCGAGGCTTCGTCATAAACCACCTTTTCCGGCCCCTTCAAGGCCAATTCAGACTTGATTTCTCACCCTCGGCCAACAGTAGAAGTGCCTGCCCTTTGGTTGACATTCAGGGAGCTGAAAGGTTGACAGGCACAGGACTTGTCTGGGACCACCGAGCCCACCTGGCCGCTGTCCTCCCACGTGCTTCTTGACGGAGAGGTGCAGGCCCTGCGGCATGGATGGCGGGCGGAGACGGGGGCTTTGAGAAGGGCCGCCCTTCCTGGCCCCGGCTGTCAGGGGCAGCTGAGGTGGGTACAGTAGCGATTCTGTCACCACATCCGGGAGCTGGGGCCAAGGAAGGAAGTCTGAGGCCGGAGCGAAAACCCAAACTACCACCTGGGGAAGCGGCAGAGCCCAGAGGGAGGTACCACGTGGAGCCTCCGGCCGGGTTCCTGCCGACACCAGCTGATGGCTGTCTACCCCTGCCCCCCTAGCGTCAATGGGCAGGTGCCACCGCAGTGAACGGCTAACCTGTCTGGAGCATGAGGTTCCGTGTTCACAGGCCAGCAGCCCCTTACATCGTAGAAAGCAGGCATTCTGTCACCCAGCCCTGAAGACGCTGCGGCCTGGAGCATGCTGGGACTCAGCCAGACCCCCGGCTGCTTGGGAGCAGACGGCTTAAGAGAATGAGTCTAGGACTCAGGACTGGATACAAAAATTCTGCTGACACTCTGGAGACCGAGTGGGCCCCCAGACCACCAACCTCCATCTCATCCTTGAAGATGTAGGCAACAGTCCTACTTTGCAGTGATGTACAGCCCAGGCCCTGGCTTCTCGTCAGAGCAGTGTTAGCCACTCTCATGAGGCTACCTCAGGGTCCCGCAGTGAGGGCTTGGGTCCACTGCCTGTCCTGCGAGCCTGACAGATCTACACCACCACCTCCAGGCAGCCTTCTGAGTATGGGGGAGTGGGCTGCAGCCTGTGCCCCTGCAGCCAGGGGCGCCCCCCCCCCCATGGCACGTCCCCAGGTCCGGTGAGGAGTCAGGCACTGCACTGTCACGTTGACTGCTGTCGGGGCCCTGCCCACAGGCTGCTGCTGCCCCTGGGGAGGGAACGTTTAGGGACCGAGAGGAGGGGATGGGAGATTCGGTCGCCTGCCCCCACTTCCGCCCCTCTGCCCACACCCCACCCAAGCTCCGGGCCCTCTCTGGCTCCCCCCACAAAACCCCAACCCATCTTATCCCCTCCTGAAGCCCCACCCAACCCAGCTGAGCTGGCTCGTCGCTCCCCCAGCCCCCGCTGCCCCCAAGTCCCCAGTGGCCGCAGCTGTCAGCACCACCGCCTTAGTCCAAAGGGTTTATTGAGACAAGTTTTCACAGAGTCCAAGGCAAAAGGGGCGGGGCCTATAAACAGGAACCTGGAAGGGACGAAGGGGGCAGGTGGGACCGAAATGAAGAGTGAAATAAATAGAGGAGAGTGGAGGGCAGGAGGGAGACCGACGAAGACTATCACACAGTGATAACAACCATGGGGGCTCCGTGAAACCCCACCATTTATACAGATATACAGGGAGGCCTGGGCCCTTTCCAACCTCCATGCCCTGGCAGCGGCAAGAGAAGGCTCTGTGGGTAGGGGCTGGGGCTGCCCTTGGAGGGGTGCTGGGGAGGTAGGGTGGGGCCGGCCCCAAGGGCACCCCCCCAGGCAGTTACTGGGCCTAACGGCGCTGGTTAGTGTCTAGAAAGCAGTGTTGAGTGAACGGAGGAAAAGCCTGTGGCCCCCCCGCTCCGGCTGGCACTGGCCTCCAGCTGGCACTGGCCAGGAGGAGGGTGGGAGGCCTGGCACGGCTCCCTCCCAGGTCGGGAGACGGAAGCTCAAAGGGGGACCCTGGCACCATCTGGCGTCTTGGAAAAACGGAGCCCCAAGGACATAGCCCTGGCTGTGCTGCCCTTGAGAAGCAGCCTGGATACCGGAGTGGGGGTCAAGGCCCCACAGAAAGTCCCCCCGAGGCAGTCCCCGGTGGGGCGGGTCCTGAAGGAGGCCCGAGCAGGCAGGGGAGGCCGTGGGGGAGCTCCCGGCGGACGGCCCTTAGCACCACCAGGCTCCAAGGCAGGGCGAGGCGGCCAGGCCTCTGAGCCTCGAGGGGGAGGCTGGGAGTCAGTCACCTGTGGGAGACGAGGGAGGGAGGCCTGGAGCCTGAGCTGGTAGGACCCTTCCAGGTCTCACACCCCCTCCTCAAAGGCGTCCCTCACAAGGCGTCCCATGGGACTAGGCCCACAGGAAATGGCGGGCTGGGTGGGGTGAGTGAGGGTGTTGTCGGGGGAGGAGGAGGGCGTTCTGCTGCCCAAGCCGGGTGCCCCCCGACACCATTCGGAGCACAGAAGGCGTGGCAGCCCCTCACCTGGGCCCTGCTGGCCCGGCCCCGGTCCCCAGGCAGCGCGCGGCCAGGGCGGGGCCCGGCAGGCATCATACGAAGACCTTGGCCAGGCCGTCGGCGCCAGCGCTGGCGATGAGGGCCCTGCTGGGGTGGCAGGCCACCGCGTGCACGGCCTCCTCGTGCTTCTTGCGGTGGGCCGTGATCTCCTGGACACACGTCTTGTTGTCCAGGCTCCACAGGCGCAGGGAGCAGTCATGACCTGTGCGGGGAGGGCCATCCGTGAGTGCCCTGGGACCCTGCCTCTGCGTGCAAACCCACCCTTCAGCCCCACACCTGGGTCCTAGGCTTCGGGGTGAGGGTGGGGGCCAGGTCCCCTCTGCCTGCCCCTTGGCCTTGTGCTGCTGCGTCTCCTCGCCAGCTAGTTACTGAATGTCTGCTGTGTACTGACACTGAGGGCGGTGAGTTGGCAACGGGCAAAGAGACTAAGCTGCGAGCAGGAAGGGGCGCCGTGGGCAGAAGGAAACACACAAGGAGGCTGAAAGGTCCCAGGAGGCACTGTCCGGAGGCAGGGGTGGCTGGCCTGAGTGCCGACCAAATGCAGGCAGTGCAGCCCCGAGGGCCAGTTAGTCGGAGGGGAGGGCAGGGAGCAGGCGGCCGTGGCGGGACCCGCACTGGAGGGACACGGCCTGGTGAGTTGACTGCTGCTCTTTCCTGTCCTCTCCCCAGAGGACGGCACCGCCCCCCACAGGGTGAGGGCCGCGCTCCTGCTCCCGAGGGGTCAGGGGCTCCCAACCTACTTCCTGACATTAGGAACACGCCGTTGGGGTCCACGGCGAGGCAGGTCACGGCATCCAGGTGGGCAACCATGGAGTGCACGGATTTCCCTGAAGGGAGAAAGAGTGGGCGGCAAGTCACTGCCCGCCCTGGGCCTTGACTGAGATGCCCTGAGAGCCCCCAACAGGGCATTAGGTTTTCCAGGTGAGAGTCTGGATCACCCTGACATGAACATGAGCACCCACAGAGCCGGAGAGCGGGGCGCTAGGGAGCTGGGCCTCACCGGTCCGATTGTCCAGGAAGCGGATGCCTCTGTCGTCATGAGCGGTGATGGTGAGGGGCTGGTGTGGGTGACTCACCACCTGGTTGATCTGGGTGGGGCCTAGAAGGAAAAGGGGAAATGGCGGTGGATGTCAAGGGGCGACTAGGGAGACCTGGACAAAGGGAAAAGGAGGGCCGGACCCTCTATCCTTGCTCCCCTGCCCAGATGTCGAGGTGGGCGGGGCACACAGGGCCCCTTCTCTGGACTTGATGTCGCCCTGTAAAATGGGGACATGCCCTGTCTCGGGAGGGCTGTGGCAGGAGCGGGGAGCACACAGGAATGTTTGCTGGTCGTCAGGTGTTTGCTCCTCAGTCCAAGGGCCGCCCTGTCTGTGAGGGCGGCGACCAGGCCTCCACTAGGCCTTGGTTCCTTCCTGCTCTGGTCCAGCAGCGGCCCAGGCTCGAAGCCCCCGAGGGATGTCGGTCGGGTCACCGAAGCCAGAGGAAGAAGTGGGGCTCGGAGGCAGGCAGTGCCTGGTCCCACAGGCCGGGCCCCAGGGCCTCCTTACCGCTGCTCCCCCGGGACTCCAGCGTGAGCAGGGCGCTGCCAGCCTCCAGGTCATACAGCACGGTGTCGCCAGAGCGGAAGGAGGCCACTACGTGGGCAGGCTCGGTGCTGGTGAAGGCCACTGAGGTGGGGATCCCGTGCTCTGGGGGCGGAGGCAAGGGCAGGCTGCTGAGGGGCCCTCACCCCAAGTCCCTCCTCCCCCTCCTCGCAGGTACCCCCTGCGCCCCCTACTCACCGCTGGCTGTGGAGAAGGTATAGAGGCAGGCCGGGCTGCTGCTGCTGGGGTCCCAGATCCGGACAGTGCCGTCAGCAGAGCAGGAGGCCAGGCGGCGGGAGGCGGGACTGAAGGCCAAGCCCCACACGGCATCCCCGTGGCCCTCCAGGACATGGCTCAGCATACTTGGGTCTGGACCCACCCGCAGGGAGAGAACAGGCTGGGTCGGGGGACGGCCAGGACAGCCTGGGGGCAGTGGCTGAGGAGAGCCCCGGGGCGCTGGGCCCCGAGCCATCCAGTCCACCTGGACCCGCCCCTCCCCTCCCCTCCCAGCTGCTCCCCACTCGAGCTCCTCCAGGGAGACTGGGGGGCCCTGAGGCCTCCTGGGAGCCAGCTCCAGAGGGCAGGGAGCTCTCTCTTCACTGCTGTTTTCTCAAGGCCCAGACAGTGACCTGAGCTGGCACGCTACTCTAAGTCACTTCTAAGACTTGTGGTCTCTGGGCCACACATGACTCTGCTTCACCAGAGTCCAGGGCCTTTCAGTCCGGGCAGGGTCTGCCCTCATACCAGCAGTCAGCTCAATGGGCCGTGTGCCTCCGGTGCGAGTCCCGCCATGGCCACCTGCTCCCTGCCCTACTGCACACACCCTGAGGGTCTCTGAGTCACTCAGGCCATTCAAAGACCCCACCACTGCCTCATGGCCACGCAAGTCCACACAGGCGGCTCCAGCCTGAGCCCAGCTGACACACGACGGGGCACCTTCACTGGGTGTGTAGCACACACTGCCTGGGACCGCTCCTCTGGAAAATGGTGTGTGAGTCTTGTGGAGAGCCACAGACCTTTAAGCTCTACCACGCAGGGTGTAGCATAGGGCCACATGACCAACAGGTTCCTGTAGGCGGCCAGCCAGGAGGGCTGGGGACAGATGCTGACAGGGCCAGGCCCATCACTACCCTACTCAACAACTCATAAAAGCAGCCCCACGATGGAGCCCAAGCGCCCACAACCTGCCCCGCTGACTTCTCTCACTGCCCCTTTTGTCCCTGTCCTCAAAGCCGCCCTGACTGCTGGCGGCCAGCCCAGCCGTGACCTCTGCCTCCAGTTGTCCTGCTCGCACTGATTCTGAGGCCATCAGCCATCACATCCTGTGAGACACGCCCCCCCTCCCGTCCTCTAGGCCGCCACTGACTGCCCTGTGTAGGGCAGGACAGAGGCGGGCCCAGCGTGGGGTCGAGGAGGCTCCCTCACCGTAGCCGTCATAGGGGTCCATGTTGAGGTCGGGCATCTTCCAGCTGTGGATGCGGGCGTCCGCACCCCCACTGTAACAGTGCTCGCTGTGGCTGCCCATGGCTACTGCCAGCACAGGGCCCCTGCAGGGCACAAGGCGGGGGCAGGGACAAAGCTCAGCCCTTGCCCTGGGGCCTCCGAGCTCCCCATCAGCACATCCCCTGGTGGCCCAAAGGAAGTTAGCACCTAGGGCTCAGTGATGCCACCACGCCGGCTGCCAGGGCTACCAGAGTCTGCAGAGCACAAGGAGCTGGGTTTGTGTGTGGAGAGTCACACGGAATAGGAGGGGTGTGTGTGTGGAGGGCCACATGGTACAGGAGGGGGCATATGTGGAGAGTCACACATAGAAGGAGGGGTGTGTGTTGAGGGCCACATGGTACAGGAGGGGATATGTGTGGAGCGTCACACAGTATAGAAGAAGAGGTGTGTATGGAGGGCCACACAGTACACAAGGGATGTGTGTGTATAGAGGGCCACACGGTACAAGGCGGGAGGAGCCGGCGGGGATGGCAGTGGGGGTCAGACTGCTGCTGGGATGGGGCTCCTGGCTGGCTCCGGGGCACCTCCCTACCTGTGGGCCCGGAAGGCATGGATAGGTTCCACGTCAAGCGCAGCGTTCCTGTGGGGAGATGACAAATGGGACGTCTGAGACCCCCTCAGCCTGCCCCGGCCCAGATGCCCCCCCTGCCACGCGCAGCCCAGGGACACCCTCACTTTTTGGCTGTGACCGCCTTCTGCAGGTTCCAGAGCTTGAGCGTGCCGTCCTCCGAGGCAGTGAGCAGTGCCGACTGGCTGTGATGGAAGGCCAGGGAGCGGACGCCGTCGTAGTGGGAGCGCAGGGTGAACTTGGGGCTCCACGTCTTCTTGACGGCGTCTTTGCTGTCAGACAGCTAGGGAGGGGCAGCTGCCTTAGTGCCTCCTCTCCCGCCCTGGCTGGCAGTCACACAGACACTGACACCCAGGACACCCAGGAACTCCCGCTTCCTGCCCAGCCACACGGACTCCTGGGCAGACTGGCTCTCCCCTACGCTCCCCGAGACAAGTGTCTACAACGTGCCAGACACCACACTAGGGACGCGGGGGCCCTTGGCAGCTCACAATTCAGAAGAGAGCAGGGGGTGGGGTGGGGACAATCAACTCCTCCCACACAGGATCAGAGACCACATGCAGTACACCCAGGGGGTGGGGGGGACCCGGCAGCCTGCCCCCTCCGAGGGCAGGGGCTGGGTGTCAACAAGGCCTTCCTGAGGGAGAGGCACAAACTGCTGGGTGTCATCGGGTCAATTCCGACTCACAGTGCCCCTAGGAGACAGAGTAGAACTGCCCCACAGGGTTTCTAAGACCGTCATCTTCATAGAAACAGACTGCCTCATCTTTCTCCCACAGAGTGGCTGGTGGGTTCCAATCGCCGACCGTTCAGTTAGTAGCTAAGTGCTTAAGCACTGCACCACCAGGCTGCTATGACATGTGAACTAACACCTGACAAATGAGCAGACTGACCCAGAGAAGGGAGGAAGTTTGGGAAGGACCCTGCATGTGCATGTGCAAAGGCCCTGGGGCTGGGGGCAGCGAGGGCAGACCCGGGGCCTGGTGGGAGGCCAGTGAAGCTGAGTGCAGAGAGCAAGGGGAGGTGCAGGAGAGGAGGCCGGAAGGGCCAGATCGAGGCGAGTGGGGGCCACGCTCAGAAATCTGCACTGTACCCTAAGAAAAGGCCTCAGGGAACGGGGGCCACAGAACGGTGTAGAGCGGGGACGAGACGACTGTGTAGCTATCCCACGCAACTTCCATTAAGGGTGGCTGTAGGTGTGTCTAGACTATGTGAGGAACTATTACAACTCAATAATAAAAAGGCAAGTAACTCTATTAAAAATTGGGGAAAGGAATAGATGGAAATTGGCCGATAAGGACATGAACAGACCCGCAACATGGTTAACAGCTGTACCCACTGCGGTCGAGTCAATCCTGACTCACAGTGCCCCTAGAGGACAGAGCGGAACTGCCCCACAGGGCTTCCAAGGCTGTCAATCTTCACAGAAGCAAAGCCCAAACCACACCCACTGCCTTGGAGTTGATTCTGACTCACAGCGCCCCTAGAGGACAGAGTGGAACTGCACCACAGGGCTTCCAAGGCTGTGATCTTCACTGTTACATCATCCTCCAGTGGAGTGGCTGGTGGGTTTGAGCCACTGGCCGTTCGGTTAGCAGTGAGTGCTTAACCATTGTGCCACCAGGGCTCCTTCATCAGTCACTAGGGAGATGCAAGTCACAACCACAATGAGACAGCACTTGACAGCCACTATGACAGCAATAATCAAGATCAGTGACCTGATGCTGGCGAGGATGTGGGGAAATCAGAGCTCGGACTCTCTGGGGCAATGGAACACGGGGCAGCCGCGTGCAACAGTCAGGCGGGCCCTTAGGCGGTGGTGCGGAGTTACCTTACGGCCCAGCAAGTCCACTCCAAGGTCTGTACCCAAGAGAGATGAAAACACGTCCACCCAAAAAGCAGAGATGCACGTTTTGTCCACAGATCGGCATCGAGGCATCACTCACAACAGCCAAAAGGTGAAAACTGCCCAGATGCCCAGTGGAGGGTGGACAGACAGACAAACAGTGGTCCATGCCACACACCATGGACTGAAGCTCAGCCACGCAGGAACGGAGCACTGATGCGTGCATGCTATGACACGGGTGGCCCCGAAGACGCGCCCAGCGGAAGAAGCTGGGCACAAAGCAGCACACCTCCCGTGGCTCCGTTCCGATGGGACGCCCACAGCAAGCCCGACCACGGCAACAGGAAGCAGCCTGGTGGCTGCCAGGCTGCTGGGGATTGGGGGCTGGCAGCTGCTTTCCGGGGGGATGGTTGTGCCACCCAGCGAACCTACACTCTCAGTGGGGGACTGCATGGCATACAGATTATACTCAGTCCGTATGCACTGTTAGAAGGATGGGTGCAGAGAGAGGTCACGAGTGAGCCCAGGGAGCGATGGACCATCAGTGTATACCCTGAAGGTGCAGACAGAGACAGTGCGGAGTGGGGGCTACGAGAGCGACCCCCCCCCAGTGTCTGTGGGGATCCCCACGTGCACACGCCCTATGGGGGGGTGCTGCTCACTGAGCTAGGGACGCTGGGAGGCCGTGACGGAGAGTAAAGGCGCTGAGTAACCAGTGGGCCGCCGAGGCGGAGTTTGCCCCTGAGCCCTTTTACCTGGGCTTCCATGCGCCCCCTATGCCTTGCCTCAGCCATCACTCGGGCCACAGTGCTTCTGAGCTCAAGAGCCTGCTGTCGGCTGAGCCCTGCTGCCTCCCTGAGTGGAGTGTGGGAAGTCTTAGGGAGCACACCTCCCCAGCTCACCCCCATGCCAGCCCGCTTCCTGGCAGTGTATGGCAGCACCCCCCAACCTCACTGGGGTCATGAGCTCCACGAGAACCTGCTAGAAAGCGAAGGCTGACATCAGCCGCAGACAAAGGTGTTCTCGCGCCCAGGCCCAGAGGCTCACAGCTGCCCAGCCGGCCGCAGACCCTGGGCTCTGGATGCTGGCCACGCCACCCTGTGCCATCCGTGCACACACTGGTGGCATCTCATTGTTTGGGTTTGTGGCTTGAGGCCATCTTCCCAGCTCCCCACCTGTCCTCATCAAATCCACCTCAACCATAGTGGGGCTCTCACCTCACGGTCACCACCCTCAAGCCCACCCTGGCAGCCTTGGTGGGGGCTCCCTAGACTCGATGGGTGGGCCAGGTGGGAAGAAGGAGCCTGGCACAGGGACTGAGAGCCAGGCCCCAAACCTTTGTGATCCCAGACAGGTCCCCTTCCCTGTCTGCATAGCACCCCTCTATGAAGTGGGGTGAGGAGGTGGCCCTTACCTCCCAGGGCTTGGAAGGACCTCATCGAAGGCTAGTGTCAGGGACCTAGCACTGGCCCAGCGCCCAGGCCGAGCTCAGCAGGTGCTGGCCTCGGGCATGAGTGTGGATGGGGCTCAGTGGGGTGGGGGCACCCCGTGAACTTACATCACAGCTGAGGTCATTGTCGTTGGTGACGGTGAGATCTGCCAAGTCCCCCAGGCTCACCTCCCCGCCCCCGATTGTGTCCATGATGAAAACGTCTGAGGAGAAGCCAAAGGAACCTGGTGGGGGGAGGGGAGGGAGGGCGCAGAGAGGGGCAGGGAGAGAGAGAGAGACAGAGGGAGGCCGAGGGAGAGAGAAGGAGCGAGAGAGAGAGGCAGGGAGAGGATGAGAGCAAGAATACAGCTGGAAAGAGAGACGGAGAGAGACAGACAGACAGGGCAGGACAGACAAAAAGAGGGAGACAGACAGACAGACGCACTTTTGGGACAGGGAGGCTGCAGGCTAGAGGCCGGGCTCCCACAGAGAACACAGAAGCCTGGGCTTAGCGCTGCAGCCTCCCTCTGCTAGGGGCCCCTGGGACTGGGGTGGGCCGCTTACCTTCGTGGGGCCGGGGCTGGGGGGTGCCTGGGGGCGGGCCTGTCACTTTCAGAGGTAGCCCATCCACATCACGAAGGTCTGCCAAGATTCCCTGGAGTTTGACCCGACGGCTTTCTGGAGGGACGGGACGCATGGCAGGACTCACCCACCGATTTTCTCACAGGTTCAGGCAACCCACGCCCTCCTCACCCTCACCACCTGAAGTCTCGCCTGCAACTGTGGCCGAGGAAGCCCTGGCCATAGGGCACACTGGGGCTCGGCGTGGGGGGCGGAGTGGGCAGCGGAGACCACGCCTGCGCTGGCACCCTGTGACGCCCGTCTGGGCCTCTGCATGCCCAGCCACACCCCCGGCCCCGAGGGCCCTCCTGGCCGGGAGTCACAGGCGGGAGGATGGTGAAGCCGGCCCGTGGGCCTCTCCCTATCAAGTCCTCGTCTGTTCCTTGCTAGAGGTCACAGAGGACTAGAGGGCCGGCGTCCCCAGAGCCTCGGGGATTTTCCAGAGAAGGGGCGAGGGGCCTGACCACCCTGGCTCGGGCCTCCCGGTCTCCTCTCCGGAAGCGTGTCCGTCCGGCGGAGAGGCCCTGGGGCAGGAAGCAGCTGCAGGCGCTGCGTGTGGAAGGGGCAGGGCCAGGGTCTGCCTTCCCCCCCCCCGCCCCCGTGCAGGCGAGGAAGGCAATCTGAGGGGGCCGGAGCCCCCCAACTCACCCAGCTCACGGTGGTTCCCATCTCCAGGACAACGCCGGGGGTCTGGAGCCCCCTCTCCATCCTCCCCAGAGCCCAGGAAATCAAACTCGTTGATGGCGTCCTCCGAGTCGTCCTCGTCCTCGTCCTCCATATCAGGCACCAGGGCCTTGGAGGGGAGCTGGGGCGTGGGGAGACGGGCGGGTCAGGCCCGTCCAGAGTGCAAGCCCACTCTGGGCTCTGGGACAGATCAGCGGGGAGGGCCGGCCTCTGCCGCTCCCTGCTGGGACCCATCCGCAGGGGCCTGAGGCACACTCCCTGGAGCCCCACATGTGGCTGTGGAGCTCCCCCTGCTGGGCCTTTGCAAGTGCCACACTCCCGGGGAGGCGCAGTGCTGAGTCTCCTGGCAGGCTTTGCTTTGCAGGCCTCTGTAAGGGACCTAGTGCCTAAGGCATTTGACTGCTAACCAGAAGGCAGGGGTTTCAAACCCACCAGCCACTCCTCAGAAAGAAGACTAGGCAATCTACTTCCACTGAGATACCACCTCAGAAATCAAGGAGGGTCACCGTGAGTCGGAATGGAGTCAAGAGTGGTGAGAAGGAACCCCGGGGGTGCGATGGTTAAGTTCTGGGCTGCTGAAACTGAAAGGCTGGCGGCCTGCACTTACTCAGGGGTGCGGTTCCGCAGGAGAAACACCTGGTGATCTGCTTCCACAAAGAGGCTGTAACCTAGGAAACTGTAGGGGCAGCTCTGACTCTGTGGCGTTGCTAGGAGTTGGGATCCACGACAGCAACTCGTTACATCTGCGCCCTCTGCCCCCTCCCTTCACGCTCACAGGGCCCCCTCTCGGCTGTCACTCAGGGTACTCGTGCCCAACCCCAAGGCTCTCCCCAGTACACTGCTTCTCATGAAGTCAGGGAGAGAATATTTGCACGCATGTGTGTCTGTAAGTGAGTGCACGTAGGCACACAACTAAAATTACGAAGAAAAACAGACCTGACTCTGACCCACAGCGCTCCAGAGGACAGAGTGGAACTGCCCCACAGCGTTTCCAAGGCTGTCATCTTTCTGGAAGCAGACTGCTACACCCTTCTGCGAAGTGGTCAGTGGGTTCGAACTGCCAGCTGAGCGTTTAACCACTGTTCCACCAGGCCTCCTTCACCACAGGTGTAACAGTGACACTATAAAATCTGCACAAGCTGGCACCTCTCTAAGTGGAAACCTGTCAGAAGGAAAACTCAAATATTTTCCTTTCAAATGAGTGACAAAGAGGTGGTAAGACTGCCCTCTGCTAGAAAGGAAAACTGGGGAGACCCAGGAAAACTCGGCGGTCCCGTCAAGTTCCGAGTCTCATGGGTTTCCCTGTGCTAATAAACACACGTCAGAACCTCTGTGCTGACGTGACGCAACGCACTGACGCCCCAGGAAGCGCCGAGGAAAGAGCTCACGGGATTTCACTGAACCCCACAGCAGCCCGTGAGCGTGGCCACTGTGACAGTCATGATCCGCTCATCACTGGGGAGGACACCAAGGCTGGGCAGAGGGAAGCCACCTGCCGCAGATCCCCATTCTGGGATTAGCCCTTACACACAGGGACAGCTCTGGGGGCCAGAGACTACACGTGGCTCCCCACGTCTCCCTACACGTCTACACGGGCTGACTTGAACAGAGAGTCCCTCGGGTAAGTGCCTGACGGACAGTCAAAAGGTTGGCAGTTCAAACCCATCCGGGGGAGCCTCAGGAGGCAGGCAGGGCCACCTGCTTCCAAAAGGTCGCAGCCTTACAAACCCTACGGGGCAGCCCTATTCCGCACACACAAGGTCGCCACGGGTCAGAACTGACTTGATGGCAACTCGTAACTCTTAGGCTGAGAAGAACTTCAAAGTTCTTTCTTTGGGGGGAAGGAAACGAAACGCTGGGCAAGGGGACGCCGCATCTGCAGGGCTGACACGGTCGGTCTTCACCAGGGACGGGAAGCGGCTCCTCCTGAGTTGTTCTACGCGCACAGCTCGGGCCCACCCAGCTCGGGACGGCAGGAGCAGAGCCGTGCTGCACGCGGCCCACGTGAACACAGCCCCTTTGAAACACAGCCTAAGCTAACCCAAACCCGCCTGTCGTTATGTAAGTGTGCTTTTTCCACAAGGCACCATCTGGGGCCATCCGCTCTGAACCACACAGTCTGTACTTTACAAACGGTTCGGGGATTTTCGGGAGTGTTCAAAGCCAATTTTGCCATGTTAGATTTCTGCCTTAAGCACTGGCTTACGGACCCCCGACCACAAGCTCCTCCATGTTGTGGGCAGGAGTGCTGCCTCATCCTTGCTGCCAGCACGTGACCTGGCCTGAGAAGGCCCCAAGGAGAGGAAGAGCCATTGCTATGGTGGAAGCATGGGGGCTCGGGCAGCCAGGGCATGAGGGACAGGAAGAAGAGGTGGGGCCAGCCCGCGAGGCCGAGTGGAGGCACTCGCCTCTCCCCGACGGACAATGTCCTAACGCCAACAGCAGACTGGATGTCCCCACCCTACGGGGCCCCTCAACCAGGTTCTCGGCGGAACCTGAGGCCCAGCCACAGGCCCTCATGTTACAGGTAGTTACTGAGAGCCTTCCCTGCACACTCTCTTCAGGGCCCTAGTGATGGCCGCCAGGGAGACCCACACAGTCCCTACCCTTACGGAGCTCACAACCTACAAGGGCGACTGAGAGGCAGAAAGCAGTAGTCACAGCAAAACACGTGTCACTGAACCCAGGAGGGAGCTGCCGAGCCCGCGGCTCCGGAAGGGCCTCCCCGGTGAAGTGAGAAGATGGCAGTGGCGAGAGGAGAGCTTGGGGAAGGACTTGGGGACCTCTGAGGGCTGGAGGCGAGGTGGCCACACACAGCCAGCACGGAGGGCCCGCCTGCAGCTCACCTTGACGCGCTGCTTCTTGGGCTGCGCGCTGTCCAGCTCGTCGTCCTCGTCGCTGTCCTCGTCCTCACAGCTCTGCAGGAAGGGGATCTGCTCCAGCACGGAGCCGCCCAAACGGTCTTTGCCGTCTTTGCCCGCCGCGTTCCTGCCCGCAACAGGGGCACAAGGGGCATTAGGCCAGCCGGTGACACAGCCCCGAAGAGAAGGGACTGAGGCCTGGCGGCCGGAGCCTGGATCCAGCAGCTGGGCAGCTGAGCCCAGGGCTGTCCCACACGGGGCCCTGAGCCTGGCCTCTGAGACACCCACCCCACCCTGAACCCTTGCCCAGACCAGCAGGCTGGCCCCCAGCTCCTCGCGGAACCCTGACACAGGTTCCAAAGGACCAGCTGCAACCCTGACCGCCCAACTCCCCACGTGCAATGAGGCGGCGGGAAAGCTGGCCGAAAGCGCCAACGCAGACCTGTTCCCAGGGCCTGGTCGCACCACAAGCACCATCAGCGCATGGCCAGAAACGCCCCCAGAAGGAAAGAGGAAAGGCCACTCCACATGCACGGGCGCCGACAAGGAGCCTGGCCACGGAACACAGCCTGTACTAGCCCAGTGCCACTTGGCACCACCCGGCCTGCAGCTCCCTGCCTCCCCACTAGGGACGAGTGTCAGCAAAAGAGCGCTTGCTGAGCCTGACGCCAGGGCACAAAGTGACAGGGATTCACACTTCAGGTAACTCTGAGCAGCCCTCTGTCTGCTGTGAGGCTGACGCTCTAAGAGCTGTTAGCTGCTCTGGTCAGTATGCAGCCCCCAGTGAGGAGAGAGAACAGCGTGGGTTCAACAGCTCCATCCAGGTGAAGGGGCTCTGGTGGCACAGTGGTTAAGTGTGAACCAGTTAAGGCTGCTAACCAAAAGGTCTGCAGTTCAAACTCACCAGCTGCTCTGAGGGAGAAAAGACCTGGTGATGCGCCCATAAAAGATTGTTGTTGTTGTTGTTATATGCCGTCGAGTCGGCCCCGACTCATAGCGACCCCTCCTTGGGTTTCCGAGGCAGTATCACTGCGGAAGTAGGATTGCCCAACCTTCCTTCCGAGGAGTGGCTGGTGGGTTTGAACTGCCAGCCGTCTGGTTAGCGGGCAAGTGTCATAGCCACTATGTTACCAGAGCTCCCCATAAAAGATTAGACAGCCTAGAACCGCTCTGGGGCAGCTCCACTCTGTCCTCTAGGGGCGCTGTGCGTCAGAATCAACCACAGCAGCAGGTTTGGTTTGGGCTTCGCTTCTCTGAACACTGACAGCCTTGCCAACCCTCTGGGGCATTCTACTGTCCCCTAGGGGCGCTGTGTTGGCACCGACTCAACGGCAGTGGGTTTGGTCCCCCACATCCTTCCTTATGCATGGCCGGCACCCCTGCCTCCAGACAGCACTGTGCACTCAGCTCGGGGAACCCGCTGCCCCGCCTTCCTCCGCCAGCAGGGGCTGTGTCACCTCTGTGTCCTTTGCCTGTTTTCTCTTAAACATGAGAGCCACCCCCACAGTCCGGGCCCTGGATCTCTCCCTCAGTGTTTGTACCCGGCCTGTGGCTTTCAACCACCATGAGCTGGAGGACGAGAGGTCTGCTGAAGGGCCGATTGCCTGCCACGAGCCCCACACGGGCACTCGGCATGTCCACCTGGTTGTCAAACAGGCACCACCTGTCCTAAGTGACCTCTTGATGTTCAATCCTCATGTCCCCAGCTCAGTAAAAGCTGCCCCCTGTTGCTCACACCAAGCCCTGGAATCCTCCTTCCTTTCTCTTCCTCCCCTCCCCCATCCAACCCACTCAGTAGTCTTGACTCTAAGTTATTGGGAGTCTGACCACTTCTTCCCTGGCCCCTGGCCTCCTGCTGTCGTCTCCTAACCCTTCTCTCTGTGATACCCCCCACCCTCCCCCCCGCCTTCTCAAATCAGACCAAGTTCTATCAGATTACGCCACACCCCAGCCCCAACCCACAGAGAAGACTTTAAGTCCTCTTCCCGGCCGGTGAGGCCCAACTGGATGAGACCCGAGATTCCAACCTCTCCCCACAAACCACCGCCCCAGGTGCTCACTCTGCTCCAGCCAGGCCGGCCTTCCCGCTTTGGAGACACCCAGCTCTCTCCCGGCTCAGAACCTTTGCCCCTGCCATTTCCTGCGCCTGGAACGTTCTCCTTCCAGCCGTCTGCGTGGCCATCCATCCCCATCTCCGCTCAAGTGTCCCCTCAACTACGCGCGCCCCCCGCAGACCCAAGTCTGCCATTGCACTCCCTATCCACCTTTTCCTTTTTCTTCGGAGCACCGACCACCCAACCGTGCACTGTCTATTTCGATGAATAACAAGTTATCTGATGAAAGAACGAACAGATGAGAACTCTGCGAGGGTGGTGCCCCTGCCTGCTGCGTTCCCCAGTGTCCGTGGCATGCTGCCCAGGACCTGCCTCCAGGGGGTAGGTGCTCCATGTCTGCTGAGGCGCGTGTCTGGGTCTGAGCCTTGAAGGGGGCTGGGGCACGATGGCTGAAGCCGTGGGAAAGTAGAGAGGGACCCAGGACAGAGTCCTAGGGACCCAGCGATGGTGGGGCGGGGCTTTCAGAGTAAGCGAGCCCACAACATACCCCGGGAGGAGGCCACCAGAGCCCCCGGGGACGTTTGTGGGTGTTCCTGACATTGGCCTTCATCAGACGGGAGAGCAGAGGGCCGGCGCCCGCCAGGCCTGATGGCTCACCTCTTGATCTGCTCCTCGATCTGCCTCACCAGCAGCGACTCGCCCCCGCTCAGCACCCCAGGGCCGGGCATGGCTCTAGGGCCCCCTTCACTGGGCTCCACGGCCCCGTTGAGCTCCAGCGAGCGGCCCAGCAGGGAGCGCACACGCTTGGACCGCATGTCCAAGATGGTGTCCGTGTAGCCCACCTCTTCCAGGTACCTGCAGGGGACAGAGCCAGCTCAGGTCAGACCTCCCCTGGGCGTCAGCGCACACTGCAGGGGCCAGTGCCCACCCAGAGAGGAGGTGCCAACATCACACAACGCCAAGCACTCCCTGGACCCCGCAGTCTCTCCTGTGAGACTTGGCGGGTGAAGGCCCGGCACACTGCGGGTGGACAAGGATGTTTGGAAAAGCCAAAATGCAGGCAGCAAATTCAGTGACCATCGATGGTGACTGTGAAATTAACTATGGGGCACTAGGCTGAAAAATGAGGCAGAGCGCCAAGGGAAGGTGTAAGTTATATGTTGTATGTTATATGTTCAGCATGATTCAAGCTGTTATTTTTAAGAAAGAGACATGATTGTGTGTCTAAGTACAGAGCACACACAAAGCCACACATTTGTGTGTCATCCTACCAAGAGGCCTGGGAAGACATCGCTAAATTTAATAGCAGTGTGATGGTTATGTTTGTATATTAAATTTGGCTGGGCCTGGTTGAGTGGCTGGGCAGCTGGATGTAGTATTCCCCATGATGAGACTGGTAATCAACTCCATGGTGGAATATACTGGGAGCAGCTGAGTAGCTAGCTGCCTTAGGGATGTGGTCTGTTTTCTGTATACAAGGAGAAGCCTTGGGAATGGCCTCTAGCCTATGGCACACTTGGACCTTGCAAGTAGCCATGTCTTTGCTCAGTAGCCTGCCATGCTCTGCCGTCCTTGGGACTTACAATGGACCTGAGTTAATGGCCTGCCGTGTGGTTTGGTAACATCAGGACTGTGCCTTTCTACTTGTCAACCTTGGGGCTTCTCAGCCTCAGCAGCCAGAAGCTGTCTGAGTGAAGAAACGCCTCTAGCTCCAGTGGGCCGGGAGCAGGAGGCAGAGCTGGACCCCAAGATTGAGGGGCTTTCACTCAGCCCCTAGGGCCTGGCACTTTGAACTTGGACTTAAAGCCTCCAAATTGTAAGAATAAACTCCTGTTTGTTAAGGCCATTCCATTTGTGGTATATTCCTGTCAGAGCGGCACTAGGGAACCAGAACAAGCAGTAACCTCTGGAAAATGGGATCAGGGACTTAAAGGGGCTTTTGCAACTCACAGGCAGTCCTGGAGCAGAGAGGACGAACTATAATGAACGAAGTCCATTCCTAACAGTGTCTTTAAGTCAAATATACAGGAAAATCAGAACAGGTGCTCATTCGGCCTCACTTTAGAGTAAAGAAAGGCTGGAAGCCTTTTTTCAATGATGTGAAAGCCACACCTGCAGCAAGTGGAGGTGACTGTGATGAAGAGTTTGTTTTGAGTAGGGCCTGGTTCAAGGAGCTCTGGTGGTACAATGATCGAAGTGCTCAGCTGCTAAACTGAAAGGTCAGCAGTTTGAACCCACCAGCTGCTCCGCAGGAGAAAGATGAGGCAGTCCGCTGCCATAAGGATTTACAGCCTTGGAAACCTGGTGTAGTTCCACTCTGTCCTCTAGGGGCACTGTGAGTCGGAATTGACTCCACAGCAGTGGGTTTGGTTTGGGCTTTGCTTCTGTCTGAAGACAGACAGCCTTGAAGACCCTGTGGGGCAGTTCCACTCTGGCCTCTAGGGGGGCTGTGAGTCAGAATCGACTCTGGCAGTGGGTTTGGTTTGTTTCAGGGGTTAGTTCGATCATTTCAAACTGAGGGCACATTTACATGACGTTAAAGGGCACATCCGAGTTGCCCTCAACCCCAGGGGACTTAGTGTACTCTACTTACTTCTACCGATGAATATTTATTACTTTTTCAATTAAGAAAATTTAAGCGAAAGGGCAATGTACCAAAGTGAGTGATCAACACCGAGGAAGAGGAAAACAGAGAAGTATGCAAGAAGTACAGACAAAAGAGATAAACCCTGTTACATATACAAAAAAAAGAAAAGAAAATTTAAGCCAGCTGGGACTGAGCTAAAAGTTTAAAAAAACAAAACAAAACATATGGGCACCAGTGCTTCAAAAAGGGTGCACAGGCCTTGCCGGTCCGCAAAGGCTCCTCCCCTGGGATCTTTTCTGACACCTGTTCCTCCGGGAGGCCTGCCCGTCTCTCAGGTTACACTGCTCTCTCTGCACCTGCTGGTCTCCGGCACTGTGCATGCCGAGGCGCCCAGCTCCCCGCCAGGACAGTGGCAGGGAGCATCATGGGTAAATGCTTGGGCTCTGGGGTGGGGCCCAGTTCAGTTCTCACACCTGCCCCTTACTGATGCCATGCCTTTACAAAAACACTTCACCTCACTCCACCTCCTTGTTTGCACGTGTGGAAATGACGGGGAGGCCCACAAAAACCCCCATAGGCACTTCCGGGAGGGAGGGAGGGGCCAGAACCGTGTTGTATGGTGCTGGGCAGATCCCAGGGTCCTGGAAAGCGCCGCCTGTTATTAGCACCATCTTGTTACTGGGCACACACACTGAAAACCAGCAAGGCCACGTCTAGATATTCAGCTTAAGGAAGTCGAGGACACATGGAAACAGCTGTCTGATGTTTGTCACTTTACTCCTCATACTAAAAAGTTAAAAACGCGCCTCAATGAAACTCACAAGGGATTGGCTCTAGGAAGGTATGGTTACCCACATGACAGACTCATGAAAACATGAGTATGAGAAATACAGGAGCCCTGCTGGCACAGGGGTTAACGTTGTGAACCAAAAGGTTGGTGGTTTGAACCCACTAGCCATTCCATGGGAGAAAGATGAGGCAGTCGGCTTCTGTAAAGACTGACAGCCTTAGAAACCCTCTGGGGCAGTTGTACTCCATCCTCTAGGGGCGCCGCGGGTCAGAATCGACTCCACGGCAGTGGGTGTGGTTTGGGCTTTGCTTCTGTAAAGATTGACAGCCTCGGACACCCTGTGGGGCAGTTCCACTCTGTCCTCTAGGGGCGCTGTGGATCAGAATCGACTCCAGGCAGTGGGTCTGGTTTGTTTTTGGTGCATGTGAAGAAACGGTAAATGCTGTGTTACCTATATATTTACAGGGGGCTCTGGTAGCATAGTGCCTAAGGTATTTGACTGTTAACCAGAAGGCTGGTGGTTCAAACCCACCAGCCACTCCTTGGAAGGAAGGTGGGACAATCTACTTCCGTAGTGATACCGCCTTGGAAACCCAAGGAGGGGTCGCTATGAGTCAAATCGACTGGACAGCACTGAGTTTGTTGTTGTTGTTTTTTAATATATTTACCACAGTGTAAAAAAAAAAAAAATCCGGACCTATCTAACCTATCTAATTTACATGAGAAGATGTTCACAACACTTAGCCAAAGCAATGCATTACAAAACTGCGAGGAAGGAATCCCTGCCTCTTTTTTTTTTTTTCCGGACTGTAATTGTGGGAATCCCTGTTTTTATAAAGCGTGTGTACACACATACAACATACATAGATACAGAGCCAGGAAGGAGCCTGAGTGCGTGCACAGCGTGTTTAATTTAAGGGAACATGAAATTCCTTGGGTGATAGGATTGAGTGATTTTAATATTTTCTTCAAGCTTCTCTATAGTTTTCTAAACTCATAAATCTCTTTAGTGATAAAAAGTACTTCAATATTACCCTTTCAGAAAATGCCACGCGGGCAGCGAGGACAGCTGTCCAAGAGCGCGGCCCCCACTCTTCCTCCTCCCTTATGCAGAGGCCCCCATTTCCCTGTCCCCGGGCAGGGCTCTAGCCACAGGTGGGCGACAGGCCATCTCAGCTGGGGCAGCTGGGCTCCTGATAGGTCAGTGTCCCCATGGGGACAGGACGGACTGTGGAGTCTCCGGGGCCATCTCCTGAGCCACACATGCCCTCCCCACCCCCGCCCCCGGGCCACTCACTGTCGGAGCAGCTGCCGGCCCTCCTTCCACACGAGTGGGCTGTTCTCCAGGGTGACCGACTCCACAGGGCCGTTGGAGACTGAGGGGGGAGACAGGAGGCAGGTTGTCTTGGTCAGGGCCCCACCACTTCCCCGTCACCCCCTCCTCCTTCATCATCCCTCAAATCCACACTGGTCACGGGGTCCTGTGGAGTCCACTTCCTGGGTGCTCTGAAACCTCCCTACTGTTCCGAGTCTCCTTCCTCAAAGTCCTCTTCATCCCTCCCGTCCTGATGGGTCATTCTCCAACCCCCACTCCCTGCAGTCCTCTTACAACAGAAATCAAAAGGCTGGCCTGGTTCTAAGGGAATGGGCAGGCCTGGGTTCAAGTCCCGCTCTGCCACTTGCCCTCCGAGCCCGCCTGAGCTTCAGGCTCCTCTTCGGACACTGAGGGTGAAGAGGAGCGGCACCCAGGCCCCAGGACTGGTGTGAATGATATGATATCATTCCTACCATTTGCTCGGTTCAGTACATCTTCACCCAGCATCTACTATGTGTTTGGCTGGGTGCCTGGGCGACACCAGTCAACAAAGATCCCTGTCCTTGTGGCACGTACATCCTAGCGGGGGGGGGGGGGGGGGTGTCCCACAGGGAATGACAACAATTGCCATCAGCCCAGCACTGAAGGCAGTGAGCCTGCCTCAAACTTCCGCCACTCTCTGGCCCACCCAGCCACCTCTGCCACTGCTCTGGTGTCACTGTCCCCTCACCTGCCACGCGCACGTCTCCACACATCTACCCACACCCCTCCTTCCTGCTGGAATGCCTCCCCTACTTCTCTGCTGGTGACCTGATGCCCCTTCCAAGGGGCTGAGACCACAGGGCAGGGGCTGTGCCCATCTTGCTGGGCCACCACCCCGGCACCCAATACGTGTTTTGACGAGTATCTGGATGCATAACTGAAAAGCCCCGTTCAAACACTGCTTCTTCCATGAAGTCTGTGAACAGCGCCATCTCACACTGTCCCCCGGGGGTACGGTTATCTGCCTGTGTATCTGACCTCCAGAGGGCTGGCGGCAGGCCTGGCCTGCTTCCCCACGGACTGCCCCTCAGGGCCCAGCGAGCAGCTGAGAGCCCAGGGGGTGGGTATTGGAAATGAGCTTCCTCCGCGGCCCGCTGCCCATTCTGCCTTCCCCAGGAGCAAACCAAGATGGAGGGGTCCCTCTGCCTTTACTCTCCTCCACGGCATCTAGCTTTTGGGGAGCGAGTGGACAGGTCAGGGGCGGAGGGATGTCAGACAGTGCTACCTTGTTCCGACAGCTCCGGTTTCTTCTCCCCCTGGTTCAAGTCTGTCCCAAACTTGAGTTTATGATATTTGGCCCTAAAAGAGCAAATGAGGCACCAATGAGACAGAGGGGAGTGTAGACTCAGCTCAGGAGCCCCAAATCCCGAGGCCTGTGCCTAATCCACTCTCCCACCTCCGAGACTGGACTCCCTCCCCTCCCACGCCTGGCTAGGCCAAGGTCCGGACGTGCTGTGGTTATGGACCTGCGCTCTGGAGTCAGGCCAACCGGTTTCCCGCCCAGCTCTACGAGGCTCTGGGCGAGGCTGAGGGACGTGGCTAAAACCGACCCCGTCGGGCTACTGGACGGGCCCAGTGAGACAACGGACGAAGCGTGTGCCACGGCGTGCGGTGCCCGCTGAGCCATGACGACTAGCACCGTTGGTTCAGGTCTGTCCTGAACACCACTAACTGCGGTGCCCAGGGCTCTGAGTTTCGTTTTCTCCCTGTCCCCTAGAGAAGGCCTGCAGGCTGGGACGCTGGGGGAACATGGGATTCTGGAAGAGGAGGGGCCCCTCCCTATGGCCTGGCTGCCCAGCCTCGGCCAGCGAGGGCTCACCGTTCCTGCTTCAGCGCATATTCCAGCATCTTGATCCGCCGCACCAGGTCCGTCTTCAGATTCTCCTGCCCCTTCCTCTCTCCCTGGAGGAAGGCCACCTGAGCCTGCAGGGGACAGAGCAGAGGGCAGGGAGGTGGGGCCCGGCCCCCCCAGTCGGCCCCAGGCCCGCTCCCACAAGGCTGCACGGCGGCCACCTCCTCACTGCGGGGGTCAGGGGAGCAGCGGAGGGAGCTGGTTCCAGGGCCCCTGCACGTCACCCGCAGCGAAAGGCCTGAAGAGGAGCCCTGAAGCGCTGAACCGGAAGTGGTTTCTGGCAGGTCAGGGATGGAGGCGGAGGGCAGGGACTAGAGCCCTGAGCGCCCTCTCCTCACCCCGAGGCAGGTGCGGTGGCCCAGCTTGCTGGTGGCCCACTATTCCCACCACAGCATCTGTCTCTGGGAGGCGTAGGAAGGAACGTCGGGAGCCTCAGGGACAAGAGTGGGAGGCTTGGCTCAGCGCCCGCTCCCCTGCGGAAGCTTTGCTGCCGATCCCCAGGGGGAACAGCATCCTACAGAGTCGGCCCAGAGCCGGCGAGAGAGGCGCCCCACATGGGACCCAGGGCTCCTGCCACCAAGCCACGCCTCGGCTGGCTCGGGCAGCCCAGTCTGTCAACAGGTCATTTGGAGACCCTGGGCCAACGGTCTTCCAGGCAGGATCCCGGCTCCTGACTGTGCCCAGACAGCCCTTCTGCCAAAGCCCCTGGCACCCAGCTCATCCCTGGCTTCTCCCCAACTGCTCCGTCTCCCAGCCTGTGGGCCTGGCTCGGCTCCTTCCCGGCTGATGATCTCAGGCCTCCGTGTCCCCCTCTAGCAGATGCCGGTCAGGACAGCGCCTGCCCCTTAGGCTGTTCACCAGGAGCTCAATGTTAAGTCCTCACAGTCCCAGGCTTACCACAGAGTAAAGGCCAATAACGCAGCTCCCACCTCTCTTATTATTTTATGGTCCCTGGCCACTGGTCCACAACTTCAAAATGGGCCCAGTTCCTCAGAGGAACTAGGATTGCTCCAAGACCCAGAACAATTAAGCAGAGAGGACTGTGGGTTACGAGCCTCCTGCCCCCAGGGTAGCTGCATCTTCCTGGGGCCCAGCTCCCCACATACCACAGGCCTGGCAGGGGCTTCCACAGCTCTCCTGAGAGCCTCCGCTCTGACCCCAGACACCTCTTCCAGCCCCTGCTCCTTCTCAAGGAGCACTGGTGGCACAGCTCTTAAGCCCTCTGCTGCCAACTGAAAATCCAACAGTTCAAACCCACCAGTCACTGTGTGGGAGTAAGATGATGCAGTCACCTTCCATAAAGATTATAGCCTTGGAAACCCTGTGGTGCAGTTCCACTCTGTCCTCTAGGGGCGCTGTGAGTCAGAATGGACTCCACAGCAGTGGGTGTGGTTTGGGCTTTGCTTCTGTGAAGATTGACAGCCTTGGAGACCCTATGGTGCAGTTGCACTCTGTCCTCTAGGGGCGCTGTGAGTCAGAATCGACTCCACGGCAGTGGGTGTGGTTTGGGCTTTGCTTCTGTGAAGATTGACAGCCTTGGAGACCCTATGGTGCAGTTGCACTCTGTCCTCTAGGGGCGCTGTGAGTCAGAATCGACTCCACGGCAGTGGGTGTGGTTTGGGCTTTGCTTCTGTGAAGATTGACAGCCTTGGAGACCCTGTGGGGCAGTTCCACTGTCCTGGAGGGGCGCTGTGAGTCATGTTTGGTTTGACTTTGGCTCCTTCTCAAAGCCGAGCTCCACACATCTCCTCCAGGCAGCCCCCTCAGATGCTCCCCTTTCCTCGGGGCTCACAGGGCCCACACTTATCTGCCCCATGTCCCTGGAGCACAGCATGGCCCTGTGCCCACAGCCCTGGAGACCAGGTCAGCCCCTCAGGTTAGCGGAGAACCACCGTCCTTTCAGTTAGCAGCCAAGTATCTAACCATCAAACCAAAAAACCCAAACCTGCTCCCACGGAGTTGATAACCAACAGGGCTCCTTAAATGTCCGTTAGAGGGCTGGTTAAACAAGTGTTTTCTCTACAGAGTGGAAAACTTAGGTAGTCATTTTCAAAAATACCACATAACCATATGCAGGTAGTCACCAACCTATGGCATATTTAAAGGCGCTCTGGTGGCATAGTGCCTAAGGCATTTGACTGCTAACCAGAAGGCTGGTGGTTCAAACCCACCAGCCACTCCTTGGAAGGAAGGCTCGGCAATCTACTTCCATAGATACCACCTCAGAAACCCAAGGAGGGATCGCTATGAGTCAGATCTGACTCGATGGCAGTGAGTTACAACAAACCACTCACTACACTGTCTTTTTCTTACATCTTGTCCTTAGTAATAATATACCAAATACAACGCAGGGAGCGCTGGTGGCGTAGTGCTTAAGGCATTGACTGCTAACCAGAAGGTGGTTAGGAAGATGGAGCAATCTTCTTTCATAAAGACTTACCACCTTGGAAACCCAATGGGGGTTGATTGGATTTGCTATGAATCACAATTGATTTGATGGCAGTCACTTTGGGTTTTATGGTCACAACAACTACAGCAAGTAATTAGTGTTATCAACCCCAAAGACAAATAACTGCTAATAAAAAGCCATAATGGGAGCTCTGGTGGCATAGTGCTTAAGGCATTTGACTGCAAACCAGAAGGCTGGTGGTTCAAACCCACCAGCCACTCCTCGGAAGGAAGGTTGGGCAATCTATTTCCGTAGTGATACCCTCTTGGAAACCCAAGGAAAGTCATAATAAAAATAAATTAAAAATGATGTATTTGACTGACATTAGAACCAACTTACGATGGAGTCGTCAGAGCAGAACCCCTCATAGTCAGGGACTAGCTGTGTGCCCAAACAGAAAGCCTGCCAAAATAGATTCTTAAGTGCAACAGTGTGCCTCCTTGTGAATAAACAAGAAGGGATGGACATGCATCAGTGCATGACGAAAGTGTCCTCCACTCATGTACGTACTCATCACAAATATTTACTAAGCCCCAGCACATATGCTGAGGACAGGGTTTGAATGGGATTGGGAGTCATATTCTAGTGCGGGGAGGGTAAGGAAAAACACACACAAACACATGTTGCCAGGTGTCCTACGAAAAGAAATGTCATCTGTCACTGAGATAATGGGACTTCTTTTTTTCTCTGAATATTTTTCCACTTTTCACTTTGAATCAATATGTACACCAAAACAACAAGCACTTTGTCACTGAATCCATTCCAACTCACAGCAACTCTAGAGCAGAGTGGAACTGCCCCACAGGGTTTCCAAGGCTGTCAATCTTCACAGAAGCAAAGCCCAAACCAGCCCACTGCCCTGGAGTCCATTCTGACCCACAGCGCCCCTAGAGGCCAGAGTGGAACTGCCCA